ATAATGAAAACACTCAAGACACGTCCCTCCCTGACACCACAGACCAATTTGATAGACAGTTCCTTGTTGAAGCTCTCTTTCCAGATAATTTTAGAGTCTGTCATGTTAACAATTAAAACAGTCAAGGGGATAATGATATTGATCTTTTTGTGTTTTGATCATTCATTTTTTTGAGAAATATCCATTCTAATTCTCTGCTCTCTTGGTGTTTGTTATTGAACTTATAGCCTTGTTTGTGATGAACAAGTACCCTACAATTGAAATATATTCTTGGTTTCTTTACCCACTTTTATTAATATGTCTTTTTCATTAGTTGTAAGAGATTTTTATATATTCCAGGATATAAACCTCTTCTCAGTTACAGAATTTTGAAATACTTGCTCTTGAATGGATTCTTTATTTTCTTGTTGGTGTTTTCCAAGGAATATAAGCTTTTCCTTTGAAACCCAGGCATGGTGCGAGTGCTTAAAATTCCAGCAGTATTGAGGAGAAAGGCTCACTGGCCTGCCGGCTTAGCTAAGTCTGCTGGCTCCAGGTCCCAAAGTAGGGTGAACAACGTCTGAGGAATGACTGAAGATTAACCTCTAGCCTCTATGTACAAGTGTTCCTACACACACACACACACACACACACGTGTGCACACACACACATACACATACACACACAGGCACGCGCGCACACACATACACACTAAAATTTAAAGAATTCACTGCATTTACTTATTGAAGGTGGGAAGATGACATGTCACAGTGTATGTTTGGAGGTCAGAGGATAACTTCAGATTATTCATTCTTTCCTTCCATCATGTGTGTCCCTGGATTTGAACTCAGATCTTCAGGCTTGGCAATAGGTACTTTTACTTGATGAGCCATTTTTCTTGTTCAGAAGTTTTTTAATTGTGATAAACTATAGTTTGTCTTCTTTTCTTTTATTCATTTGTTTTAGTATTGTGTATAAGAAGCACTGCTTAACCCAAGATCATGAAAATTATTCCTATTTTTTCTTTTCCGAGTTTAATAGTTCTGACTCTTTCATTTAGTTTTTAATCCATGTGGAGGAGGGGAGGGGCTGGGGATGGAGAGGAGAGTCAGGTATTCGGTTTTTAAAAAAACATTTATTTTTATTTATATGTATACATCTGTGTGATTATGTCCCACATACCTGGTTGCTGTCAGAGTTTGAAAGAGGGCGGTTGAGCCCCTGGAGCTGGAGTTATACCTCGTATGAGTACTAGGAACTGAACTTTGGTCCTAGAAAAGCAGCATCAGTAACCACCTAACAATCTCCCCAGCTAATCCCCACCCCATGCACCCTTTTGGTTATTTCAGCATCATTTGTTCTAAAGATTCTGTTTTTAAGACATTTGTCTTGGTAATATTTAAATTGAAATACTTATAGTTCCTCCCCATTCATTTTCTAATAGTTCTTCCATAGAATAGATTCATAAGTCTTTTCTTTCTTCTTTCTTTTCTTTTTTTTTTTTTTTTCAACAGACATTTTTTTTTCTCTGCATGCCTCTGGCTGTTCTGGAACTTTTTTGTAGACTAGCCTGGCCTAGATTCCCTGAGTTTGCCTTAGGTGCTGGCCTCAAAGGTGCCCACCACCTGGCTTGGCCCTGGAATAGCTTCTTGTTACAAGTTATCTTTTGATCTGTGGATACACTTCACAAGCCTAGGCTTGGTGAGATTACTTGACCCTCTTGGTCTTTTAGGTAGTTGATATTTCAACACACTTTACAGTGCTCTTAGAAACTTATTAAAAGAATGTCACCTCAGCTGGGTTTGTGGAGCATGCTGTAATTCTAGCATCTGAGAGACTACGGCAGGAAGTCTCTAGTTCTTAAGCCAGTCTCAGCTACATGGCAAGTTTGAAGACCCTGTTCCCAAGGAAGGAAAGGGGAAACCCGCTTTCCTCCAAGTGTTAGGTCATACATCAGTGTGTATTAAAAACAAATAATTGGGGCATAATGTTGTATTTTACATTGACTCTTGCTGTTCTGAACTGATATGAGAAGTAGTGTCAGTTACTGTGAGGTGTAGGTCATTAAGAAAAACTTTAGTGGAAACTATCAATCATTTCTGTAAAAACTTTAGTGGAAACTATCAATCACTTCTGTAAGCAGGGGGTAAATGCAAGGCTCAGCCACTGCTCTGCTTTCAGTGAGTCCCATCCGGTAGAAATGCAGTGCACATCTTCCTTGTCACTTAAACTTCCAATGACCACATTAGACAAAGTAAAAAGAGTTGAGTGAAATTAATGTTAACAATATACTTTAATTCATATATAAAACATCTTAAAATGTAATACATAAAAAATGCTAAAATATTTTACCTTTTTTGTACTACTTTAGAAATTCAGCATGTATTTCACAAAATGCACCTCAGTTCTGACTAGCCCTGCTGCCGGCTCTTGGTTTTGTGGCCAGTGGCTGCTGTATTAGGCAGCACAGTTCCAACTATTTTGATATGATAGACAGGGGAACGGACTTAGCATAAAAAAAGTCTTAACTTACTCATCATGGTATACTGACCTATTCTAACTGACAGAACTAGATTCCAAGTGCTTTCTGTTTGTGTGTTCAATGTAGTCCTTCCTGTTCTCTTAACATAGACAGTCTGGGACATGTTAAGCTGGGTAGGCAGTGCAGCATTTGGGTGAGGAATGTAAGGCACAGGTACCTGGGGGTTTCAACTGAGAAGCAACAGACTCATTTTCTCCTGCAACCACAGGGCTTTCTGTTCTCTAAGAAATAGATATGAAATGCCAGCACTCCTTAGTGGGATTGCTGTTTGACCTTCACTCTCGGACATTTGTCAGTGTCTAGATCTGTTTTTGGTGGTCACAGCTGTGTGTATTGTCTGAAACCACTGATAGCAATGCATTCAAGGAATCTGTCTACACTAGTCAGATACGGCAGTTTTCTGAGTGTATCGCTGAACAAAGAGGTCAGATGGATCTGTCCACACTCTGGGAAAACGTGTCTTGCTTGCCGTTCTGACCCGGGGAAAGTGGACAAATGGTAGCATTTCTCTGCTTCCCCACTTCCCCACGTCCTTGTGGATTCTAGGGCCCTGCGGTGGAAGGGAGGCCTGTGTTGTCCTGTGGTACAGCAAGTAGGAATGGCTGTGAGCTGTGTTTACTTAGCGTTCTTGAGCACCCGCTAAAGGTTGCTTGGTCGTGCTTGTCTTTGCTTTCCATGCTCCGTTCTGGTGACACTGGGAATTTCCCCTGGTTTCTACTCTTCCTACCTTCATTTTTTATTTGTGGCAGCTTTTTGTTGTTGTTGTTGTTGTTGATAGGTCATAATAGTTAACGCACGCTAAGAACACTATAGGACAGAAAATGTGGTGGGCTTTCCTATTCAGCCAAGAGGTCTTATTCTCCTTTTTAAGACTGAATAAATAAAGTAGTGATTTGAACATTTCTCTGACCCTAGCTTTACACAGCATCTCAGTACAAGCTAGCATCTTTCCTCTGATAGCTGATCTTGTTAGGGTTCTAGGCTGGAGCAGGAGGCTGGCTGTGTACCTCAGGAAAGATTTGGAATTATCCTTCTACATGAAGGGAATAGTACTGTCCCAGAGGGAATCCATGTGCTTTTAGGAAAAGAGTGTGTGTACCAGGCAATGGAAATTACACTCACCCAGCACATGGGTGCTATTACAATTCTCCTTGCTCCTTAGCTGTGCACCTCTCATTCAGGTTCTGTTTGTGACACCTGGGAGTGACTTCCTCAGCCCGGCAGGGGTGATTCCCGCCAATACTTCCCCTACCCTTTGTAGAGGTCAGGGAAAACGATCATAGTCCCATTTGGAGGATTGCTGAACAGCCAGGAGGGCTTTGACATCCAAACTGAGTTATTCTGCTTTTTTTCTATTGGGACTTGGTTAGAAATATCAATTAACTTTGATGTAAGTTCATCCTTCATTTTTTTTTTCAAGACAGGGTTTCTCTGTGTAATGTTGGCTGCCCTGGAATTTGCTTTGTAGACCAGGCTGGTCACTGCATTCCATTTTATAGACCCTCATTATGAATAGTTTACTTTTAAGTGAATAAAATTGGTATTATGTATGTTATTCTTGATAACTCAAGGTTTTATGTGAGTCCTCTAAGCTTTTGCTTATATTCTGAATATTTCTGTGCTTTATAAAGTATATTATATATTACTTAATCTATTGGGAACTGCTAGAAATTGCAAAACATGTTTATATAGGCAACATATGATATATTTGACAGTAGTGTTTTTCTTTTATTTCTGGTTTTGCAGAATGGCTGTGATAAGTAAGGTTGAATTTTAAAATAAATGTAACTTTTAACCTAAACCTAATGTTATTCTAGTTATTTCTGTGGCAAGCAAATTCTGATTTTTTTTTTCATTTCTTTTTTCTGGGGGAGGAGGTTTTGGTGTTCAGAGTTTTTTGTTTTTATTTTGCTTATTTTGTTTTGTTTTTGAAGACAGCGTTTATCTATGTAGCTCTGGCTGTCCTGGAATTCGCTCTGTCGACCAGGCTAATTTCACACTCAGAGATTTGCCTGTCTCTGCCTCCTGAGTGCTGACAAATGCCACTACCACCTGGCTAATTCTGATTTTTCAAGTAAGAGCAAACTAACTCCTTTATAAGCTGATGGCTGCATGTACTTGCTTTCAAATAATCTCCTCAGGATGTTTTCTAACTTATAAAGTTGTACATCATAGGCTAGGGCACTCTTTCATTACAATAAAATCTTAGAGCATTGCCTAAAAAAAATACTGAATCTCTGAATGAAAAGATGCTTGTAAAAAATACTCCTTCGTTAATAAAGGAGAAGGGTGCCACCCTCCCCCAGCCCATGTGGTGAAGCACTGTTTAAATTCAACTAAAATGAGTAGAATGACTTTAACTGGAATTTCTTCTTAATGTGTGACAAATTCTTTTTTCCCCTCATACTAAGAGACTTAAATTTTCCTGAAATGCATCATTTGCTTTTCGTAAATACGATTTTTTTTCCTGCTGTTTCAGGCCGGAGCCTCAACAGAAAGCTCCTTTAGTTCCTCCTCCACCACCACCGCCGCCACCACCACCACCACTGCCAGACCCCATTCTCCCAGAGCCAGAGGAGGAGATTCTGGGATCAGATGACGAGGAGCAGGAGGACCCCGCAGACTACTGCAAAGGTGATGTGGTGGAGTGCAGGGTGGGCCTGCTCTCCTTGTCAGGCTGCCCAGTAAGATGGGGATGGGCCAGGGGAGTTAGTGCTGTCAGTACTTGATATTTATTAATTTACTATAAAATTTACTATAGAATGATGCCAGAAAGTATAGGTCATAGAAATTGTAAGAGAAAGAAAAATCTGTTTGTTTATACATACTCTATGCACCTTCAAACATATTTGATCTCTTACAATTAAATATAAAGGGCACAAGAAACCATCTAAGAAGAGCGTAGGGAACAGAAGGTACCAGGCTCCTGAGAGAAGCTAACTATAACTTTTATATTTGGTTTTCAGATTTCTGCATGTTAGGCTAAAAGTAAAACTTTTCCTTTTGTCTATAGCATTACATAGTGCTCATTGTTTGTGAAAAAAAGCACGTATGTTGTTTATAGAGAGACTTCCTTGGCATTGTACTTAGTGAAAAAAGTCGTGCTGTGAGTTGGTTCTGCCGCTTTGTGTCAGAGTAGGTTTTACTTTCATCTGTCATTCCACAGAAGACACAGAAACAATAGATGTAGAATGTTCTTGTATTGATGTTTAAGATCAAAAGTGTGCAGTTAAAACTCCTAAGCAGCAAGCATGTTGCATGATCAGTATCGAGAACACCAGGAGCTAGAAGCTGGTTGTCCTTTAGAGATTGGAATCTGAAGGTCTCTCTTTGGCTGTCTCTCTTGTCTTGCTTACTTGGATTTTTATTCCCTGCAATTATGAGATTCTGTGTTGCTGGTAAGATAGTTTACCTGCTGCAGATTCAAGCATGTCATTCAGATTCTGTATAACATAAGGGTATAAAGATGTTCCTGTGACCAAGCTATTAGCCCTTAGTGGCTCTCTGGACCTGTAGTGTCTTGGCAGTTTATCCTCATCTAATGAATGCAGTCAGCCATGCTGTTGGCTAAGGAACAGTGTGGTTCAGTTGTCTCCTCAGAGCATGGCTGTGTTATACGGGTGTGAAAGTATAAGAACTAAGTTCCTGTAATCTTATTCTCTGATAGAGACAGGTGCTTGTCCATAGAATTAATGTTTCCTTCCCTCCCTCTCTCTCAGATTTTAAAAATTCTGTGTATGAGCATGTTTTGCTTGCATCTATGCATGAGTACCACATGCATATCTAGTGCCCTCAGAGGTCTGGAGTTTTATAAGTGGTTGTGAACCACCAAGTGGGTGCAGGGAATTGAGCCTAGGTCTCCTGGAAGGCTTGTTAGAGATGGTGACCGTGTGCACGCTTACAGTTTCATGCTCATGCTGGTGTGCTTCCACTATCTCTTATTCTCACAACAAATAAAGCTTGACTGAAGATCAGTGTGTGGAACTAAGCCACTGGTTAGCCATAGAGGCCAGGTAGTGGTGGCATACGCCTTTATCCCTGCACTCAGGAGTCAGATTGATCTCTGTGAATTCAAGGCCCCCCTGGGCAACATTAGATGATCCAGTCTCAAATTGAAACAGATTAAAGATGGTGGCACATACCTTTAATCCCAACATTGGGTAGGGGGAAACAAGAAGGGACGTGGCTGGTGGAGAGAGGAGTATAAGGCAGGAGATGATAGGATCAGTCTGTTTCATAGAGATGACGTTTGAAGATTCGTTCTGACCATGTAGTCTGAGGATTCGTAGAGTCAGGATCACCCCTTCAGTCCGAGGATTCGGTAGAGTGTGTAAACAATCTCCAGTGATTGGCTGCTCTGCTTCTCTGATTTCTCACCTTTTGCCCAGTACCTGACTCCAGGTTCTTATTATTCAGAGCAACTAGAATCTGTGCTATATTCTTTCGCTGTCACTTTTGTTCATCCTTAAACTTGATAAGTAACTTGTGCCTTTAATTAGCATTGCATGTATCAAATAGATGTTTCTGAAGTTTTTTGTTAGGACTATAACGGTTTGTCTAAAATCACTGATAGAAATGCATTCAGGGAATCTATCTACACTAGTGATATTTCTGTTCCTGTGGCAAAATTACTTGTGATAATGAAAAGGAAGAAAAGGTTTACTTTAATTCATGATGTTAGGTTTCAGTCCATGGTGAGTTGTCCCTGTATTGTGTCAGGGTATGTCGAGAAAGTGGCCAGGAAGGAGAGAAAGGAAGATGTTAGGTTCCTAATAATCAGTTCAAGGATATGCCTCACAGTGACCCAGCTTCCTTCCTTCTAAAGGTTCTTCTGTTTCCCAGTGGCAGCATGGTCTAGTGACCAAGCCTTTAACACCTGGCCTTTGAGATACATTGAAGATTAAACGGTAACAAAATCCTAAGAATGGATTGAGGATGTCTGATGGAGAAACCGTAGCTTTCCGTTCTTCTTCTTCATGGATCGAAAAAATGAACAATTCACTCTAAAGCTGGGTGAACTAATGTTCGTTGCCTCCTCTGAATACTTGTGATCAAGTACACTCTCCTATAAGCTATAATGTAACCGTCAGACCAGGAATTAACACGGATTTTAGCCCTATCCAACCAACTATTACACTGCATTTTGAATTTGCTAGTTGCCTGATATCTCTCATTATATAGAATGAGTTGATGATAGAATCATATTATACATTTTGCTTATCTGTGTATTTAATCTATTTGGAAGGTATTTGGTATTTGCTTGGATTTTGTGATCTTCACTTTATTTTTTTTTAGCTAATGTTTTTCAGAAAACCTCCAAAGTGATTTCTGTAATTGACAAAACTTTCATTGTTTACTTAGCTATTTTCTCAGTGTGTGGTAGCTGACACCGCTTTATCTACTGTCTTTTCCTTTTTTTCTTAACCTGGCATGTACTTGTTGCCTGATCCTGACCAGTAGCTTTTAGACTGGCCTGTTAAGAAAGGGCTTCCTTCTCAGGGCAGAATTCTATTTCACTAAGCTCCATCTGCTCCTCTTGTTTATATTGCCTCTATTCCTATAGAACCTTTGTCCTACAAGCCGCTTTTCAGTTCTCCCCGAATAAAATAAGACATCAGGCAGCAGAGACACCCTTACCCTGGAACCCCATCACTCCACAGTATCCTCATGCCTTTGGGATCTGCTCTTCATAGTCGTTCATGGCCAACTATCTGATTAATCTTTTTATTGCCTCAAGTTTACAGGTATACTTAAAAATCATGAACTATACATTTTCGCATAAAGGCCACTAGTTACATTTCTGCTGTTGCTAAAACATATTCATTGCTTCTGTCTGTTTGTCTTGGCATTCTCTTTAGAGTGGGACTTTTTTTGCCCTTTCTCTCTGGCCAGCATGCTCAATTTTAGCTGTCCAGGGGATTATGGGCTGGTATCTGAAAGACCTGTGTCCTTTGACAAGTATTTTTACCTCTAGTCTTTGATTTTTCAGATATAATATAATATCGTCCCCTATGTAATATGTAGTATACTGCTTAAGATTTTACAGGAATTAAAATGAGATAAGCATGTGAGGTATATGGTTTGCCACCCGTCACGTCGATTATTAAAGAATATAAATTTCACTTCCTTGTGCCTGTCTCTATCTCCTGCTATGTGTTTCTGGTGTCCCCATCGATAACTGGTTCCATTAGATTGTACCTGTCTGTCTTATGGAGTGCTGTCAGCACTGGTTGTCTGGCAATTTTCTGTAGGAACCATAGTGATAGGCCATGCGCTTTATTCAGTTTCTTGTGTTTGTTTTAACAGAGTGATACATTTATTGAACAAAACAAAGCAAAAGCCCAACATTACCAACTCAATTTTTTGTCCACGCATACATGGGAAGATTGACTTTTGTTGGAACAAAAGACAGAGTTTATTTTTCTCATACATATGAGTGATCAGGATTATTTAAAAGATGCTTTTCAATTTTATCCTAATCTATAGAATATTTTACAACTGTAAAATGTGTGGCTTGATATTTACCCACAGCATCCACAATACTGCACTTTCCTACACTCCAGGGTTTAACATTAAGAAGGCATCATGAGTTCTTAATGAAGACAATTTCTGGATGCTCTATTTACATACTCTAGTTCATACATCTCAGAAGGAAAATTATTTAAAAACTGCCTAGTAAATGTTAATGTTTTCAACTATTAGTGTGGGACTTCGTAAGGTATATTTTGTATATTTTCAGAATCTCTGAAATCTGCACTGGATTCTCCTGAAACTATTTTTTTCTTTCATATTTTTGTTTGTTTAGTTAATTAATTAATTTCATTTTATATTCCAACCAATGTTCTCCCTCCCCTTAGTGCACATCCTCTCCAACATAAACTGTTCTCAATGTTTTTGGTCTTAGCTATTCTAACAGGTTTAAGATGGCATCTCAGGGTTGTTTTGGTTTGCATTTCCCTGATGATTTAGAATGTTGAGCAATTTCTTAACTGTCTTTTGGCCATTTGAGATTCTTCTGTTGAGAATTCTCTGTTTAGCTCTCCACCCCATTTTTAAATTGGAGTATTTGGTGTTTTTTATTGTTTCTAAAATATATTTAAGTCTTGAACTGTTTTCTTCACCTGTTTGATTGCTTTTTTTTTTTGAGGGTTGTATTGATTTCTTCCAATATTTTGTTATTTTGTTTGTCTTTCCCTCCATTTGTCTAACGGGGTTGTTCACTTCCTCTTTAAGACCCTCAATCATCTTCTTGAAGTTATTCATAAGGTTGTTGTCTTGTACTTCCTCTGTGTTGTCATGCTCAGGTCTTGCTATTATAGAACCACTAGTTTCTGGTGTATTGCTCCTTATGTTGTTGAGTGTTATCTTGCACTGTTGTCTACCCATCTCTTTCTCCAATCGATACAGGTGGAGCATGTGCTTCAGGGTGTCCCTCTTCCTCCATTTGATGCAGGCAGGGCAGAGCCTCAGGTGATAGCTCCTCCAGGTGCAGGCCTGCCTGAGGCTCAGTGGTTGCTCCTTCAAGTGTAGGGTAGGGGGTTTCTCTATGTGCTCTGGTGGTCACTGATGAGGTGACCAGCTACCTTTTCTTCTGGTCTCCCCTGTAGTTAGTAGGTTAATGAAATTACACCTTG